CACATAATGGGCCAGGGCAGAGGTTGGGATAAGTCACTTTTTAAAAAAGGGAATTGGCTTCCAGGTCTGCAAGACATAACTGAAATGTGACATTTCTAAAGAAGGGGGCCTGTCATTGGTAGAAACACGGAATAGAGTCAGACTAGGAAATGCTGGATATAACCTTCTTCAGGGACATTGGTCAATGAACTCAAATATTCTCATTCTTCTGTCAAGATGATTCTTTTGGTGGGGGGCAAAGGAGCAGAGGGAGAGGGAGAGAGAAATCTTAAGCAGGCTCCATGCCCAGCACAGAGCCCTGTGCTCTCACGTGATCTCACGACCCTGGGATCATGACCTGACCTAAAATCAAGAGTTGGATGCTTAACCAACTGAGCCACCCAGGACTCCATGTCAAGATGATTCTTAATGGAAGTTGAATGTATCAAGTATTTTAGCTTACTGTCATCAAAATTCAGTTCCTCCAACTCCCTTTGTCTAGATCTCAAGCTTCATAAGCAAGTTGCTGTTATTGAGGGCCCTGCACATCTTCTTATAGGCAAAGAGTGCTCTATTCATATGCACTGCCAGTATTCCAGTCCCTGTAATAGTTATTTGTCAATTTAAATCAATAAACTGGCATTCTGATTTTAGAATTCCATCTCTTCAGCTTAGTTAATGTTAATTTGGTTGGTGGACTGCTCTAATAGGCTTCTAAACCTGCAACCATGAGGGCCATCTGAATGTGGTAAATTCATCAAATTTGGCTTATTTGTCCCTTTGTTTATTTGTGCATTTATTCATGTAGCAGATGCTGTTGGCAACCTGGGTCTTATCAGTGTAGTACATGTCAGTTCTAGTTCCAATTGCCAGCATTTGTATTTTCTTTTCTTGGGGCACTCTCTGACCAGCTGGAACTGCCATGCCCCTACCACAGCAAGCCGGCAGTGTGAGTAGTCCCTGGGATAGTCAGTGTACAATAACAGCTCCCTCTCTCTACTGACAGGATAACTGAAGTGAATAGTCTACACTTTCTCCCAAAGTTCCTCAGCAGAATTAAGCACTAGTTGCCCACAGTGGATATTTGATTGATAATGAACACTTTATTGGTTGGTCCTCCTTCCCTAACTCACTTCCTTGCTTCCCTACCAAAGTTTTTGGTATCACCTCCCAAAGAAAATACTTGTACTCCAATTATTGTGTCAAATCTGCTTCTGGGGAATCCCAAATTAAGACAATTTCATCTACTCACCCATTCATGCATTAACATTTACTGAACATTTATCACGTGCCAGGCATGGAGTCAAGTCCTTAGCAATACATGGTCTCTAACCATTATTCATATCATCCTCATTACAAATGAAGAAATTGATGCTTAAAGAAGGTAAGCAGCTGGTCCAACATCACAAAATAGGACTGAGTGCTGGAAGGGAATGGTGGCAGATCAGGTTGCCTGAAGCTCTCAGAATCTGAGTTTTGAATTGAACAGTATGGAAAAGGAGGTTTCTGTTGGGGTAACAAGTTGAGAATATTTTTCTGGTATACAGGTATCCCCCACTTTTGAAAGCTCATGTTACACCACTTTGCTTTTATGAAAGATACATATTAGCACATACCTATTTTTACTGACTGAAAGAAATCTGAAGATTTTTGCTTCTACAAAAAAAGGTGAAAAGTGAAAATAGTGTTCAGTATTGTTTCGCCTCTAGCCATTATAGAAGCAGCACACGCCCAGAGCAGTGACAATGTCACCACCCAGCTTCTTCTTCAGGAACTACACTCAACATCTCAGCATCACGCTGCCATAGCTTTGAACTGTGCCTGAGTATGTGTTTTATCGCCATTCATTGTGTGCGTCCATTAGCAAGATGTGTCCTAAGGTATCAGAAAAGGTTCTTTTTTTGGGTCTTGGAATGCTAAAAATATTTTCCATGTAAATTAATGGTATTTGCCTTTTTGCTTTATGTCATTTCAGCTTATTAAAGATTTAACAGGAACATTCTACTTTTGAAAAGTAGGGGAAACCTGTAATACTGTTAGGGATGACTGATTAAAAAAGCACTTCAATGAAACATATTTGAAATTCAAAAAAATTATTTTCTGGGAAAGCAGCAACAACCCCCCCCCCACACACACACAAACACACATACCTGGATTTAAATCCTACCTCTACTAGGTATCAGCTGTTAAGACATATACAAGTTACTTATTCTAAGCTTAATTTCCTAATCCATAAAATGCATAATACTCAAAATTGTTGTAAGAATTAATGAGATTTATTCAGATAACTAGCACTTAATGGGTGCACAAATGTAATCTGTGGAAATAATCTGTCATTTCAGAAAGTCTGTGTTAAGTACTAAAATCCAGATGCAATTGGTATCATGTTCAACCAAACTAAAAAAAAAAAAAAAATTAAGTCATGAATAATATCTACATTGTTATCTTTAAAAACCTTCCTCTTTCTATATTATAATGATGGTTTACTGTCACAAAGCAAAACTAAAAATAAACAAACAAAAAAGGCAGGCATTAGGTATAAAATTGTTTGAAGCAATCTCAAAGAGTCCAATAGTAAATTTTATCATTTTGATAATTTTGTATTATTTGTTACTGTCAAGCAAGAATAAAAAAACAAAATATTATCAGTTGAAAACTCTACTCATGATTCTTCCCTAGCCAGATGTTTTCTTTTGTCTAGATATTTTGAAGAAAGAAGTGTAGTCTGCACCATTTTAAATTAATTAATTTTTTATTTTTTAAAGATTTTATTTATTTATGTCAGAGAGAGAGAGAGCACAAGTAGGGGGAGCGGCAGGCAGAGCATGCAGAGGGAGAAGCAGGCTCCCCGCTGAGCAGGGAGCCCGATGCAGGACTCGATTCCAGGACCCTGGGATCATGACCTGAGCCGAAGGCAGAAGCTTAACCGACTGAGCCACCCAGGCGCCCCTGCACTGTTTTTAATAATTGATTTTATTTAACCAATGCACTTCCTTAGATTTAAAAAAGTATTTTGTTAGAATTCCTGTGAGAATGGGTTAAGTATTAAAAATAGTATTAGACACATGAATGCAACGTGAATGAGTTCAAAGAACTAAAAGTTGCACCTCTCAGAAGGCAAAATGTCTAAGGTTGGCTTCACTGGTTTCAGTCCAATTGTTTTATCCAGAACAGCTCCGATTAGCAGCAGCAGCAGCGGGCAGTCAATGAAATTCTTTTCCCCCTACTCTCCCGCTGGGTTTAAGGCACAAAGAGACTGAAATGACCAAGGTCAAAACCTGATAGCACTTCCAGGTTTTTTTCTTGAATGATTTTTTAAAAAAATTCCAGGATAGTTAACATACAGTGTTATATATGTTTCAGGTGTACAATATAGTGATTCAACAATTCCATACATCACCCTGTGCTCATCGCAAGTGCCCTCCATAATACCCATCATCTATTTCACCCATCTACCCACCAACCTACCCCCTGGTAACCATCAGTTCTCTATAGTTGAGTCTGTTTCTTGGTTTGTCCTCTTTGTCCCCTTTGTTTTGTTTCTTAAATTCCACATATACGTGAAATCGTATGGTATTTGTCTTTCTCTGACTTATTTTGCTTAGCATTATACTCTCTAGCTCCATCCATTTCATTGCTAGTGGCATGATTTCATTCTTCTTTTATCGCTGACTAATATTCCTAATGATATATAATCACCTCTTTTTTTAAAAAAAAGATTTTATTTATTTGACAGAGAGAGACACAGCGAGAGAGGGAACACAAGCAGGGGGAGTGGGAGAGGGAGGAGCAGGCTTCCTGCTGAGCAGGGAGCCTGATGCAGGGCTCAATCCCAGGACCCTGGGATCATGACCTGAGCTGAAGGCAGATGCTGAACAACTGAGCCACCCAGGCGCCCCAATATAATCACCTCTTCTTTATCTATTCATTTATCCATGGACACTTGTGCTGCTTCCATAATTTGGCTATTGTAAATAATGCTGCAATGAACATAGGGGTGCATGTATCCCTTTGAATTAGTGTTATTCTATTTTTTTTGGTAAAGAGTAAAGCAATTACTGGACTGTAGGGCAATTCTGTTTCTAACTTTCTGAGGAACCTCCATACTGTTTCCCACAGTTTGCATTCCCACCAACAGCACAGGAGCGTTTCTTTTTCTCCACATTCTTGTCAACACTTGTTTCTTATGTTGTTAATTTTAGCCATTCTGCCAGGTGTGAGGTCATATCTTAGTGTGGTTTTGATTTGCAGTTCCCTGATGAGTGAAGTTGAGCATCTTTTCAGTGTCTATTGGCCATCTGTAAGTCTTCTTTGGAGAAATGTGTTGTATCTTCTGCCCATTTGCTTATTAGATTGTTTTTTGGTGTTGAGTTATTTAACTTCTTTTTATATTTTGGATACCAACCCTTTATCAGATATGTCATTTGTAAATATCTTCTTCCATACATTAGGTTGTCTTTAGTTTTGGTGTTGAAGGGGATTAAGAGTGCATCTATCTTGATGAGCACTGAGTAATTATATTGTAATTGTACTATATTGTACACCTGAAACTAATTAACACTGCGTTAACTACATTGCAATTGGAATATTTAAAAAAAAATTGAAATTGCATGCGAAAGAGCTCCAAATGACTTTTTAGTGTTTAAAGTACTTCTCCAGCAATGGATTCACGTGGGGAGAGGAAGGAGTTGGGGCTGGAAGGGAAGTAGGGCCCACATCCAATGGGGCTTGGTCTTGGAGTCTGACATTATCCAGAGAGCTATAAAGAACCAGTGACAGATTTAAGCAAGGATGCAATGAAATCATATTTGTTTCTTTTAAAAACATTCCACAGTGAGATTCAGTAGCAAAGTACTGTAATATGGACCAGCATTGTGTTGGGTTTGGGGGATATAATAATAAATAAGGTAGTGTGACCCTGCCTTTCTGGAGCTTACATTGAGTTCAAATTCAACACTAAGGATCTAAATTAAGATAGTATCAGTGGGATCATATAGAAGGAAATGGATGTTACCATAATAGCTAATAATAATAGTATTTATTACCATTTATTGAACATTTCCCATACATCAGACATTAAACACTTCGCATGTCCTGTCCATTCTCCACACAATAAGGGGTTGAAGATACATCTGGTTCTGAATGTGATCAGTGTTCAAGATTCAGACTTGATCCCTGACTGAAAAAAGTGATAGAGGAAGAGTATATATATATATGGTACTATCAGAGACTGTATAATACAGTAGGCAGAAAGAACCAAGGATGGAGAGGAAGAACATTCTGCAAAGAAGACTTGAAGAAGAGGGCCCAAGACACAGGGAGAGAGGCTGGAGAATGCAGGGTGATGGAACCAAGGGAGCAGTTTCCAGGAGGCAGTAGTTAGCAGTGTGGAAACCTGCAAAAAGGTCAGATACCATGAAAACTGAGAAGCAACTTTTAGATTTGGCATTGTGCTATTACAGACATTAATACAAGCAGTGTATACAGTAAAATGGGGGCAAATGCTAAATTTCAGTAGTTGAAGAGGGACTTAGAAAGAAATGACAATCCAAGTACAGATAGCTCTTCTAAATAGAAGGGACGGAGTTAGTAGAAGGAGAATTTATGAACAAGAAAGGGAACAACCAAGGGACTAAGACGCTTGAGAGTCTCACACCCCACCGGCCAGCTCCCCTCCCCTCCACCAAAAAAAAAAAAAAAAAAAGCTGTAGAAAGAAGGATGGCTCATACTTTAAGACAGGAGATCAGGGTGAGCACAAATTTAGGTAGATCTGTAGGAATTAAGGGTGGAGGTGTGAAGGAGTTCATGAAGTGTGTAATGGTAAACAATGGTATTGATAATACTACTACTACTATTACTAAGCCCTAACATTTACTGAACTCTTATCTTATGCCAGTCAATGTGCTAGTAATTTTTATCAGCAAACATCACAAAATTTGAAAATGGATTAAGACAGAGCACAGTGGGGTCTTGAATCGGGTCTGACACTCATGTCACACAGAATACCTATTAATGAACTAAAAAAGCCTATGTGTAATTTCTCCATATTTGAAGGAGGAACTGGGATCCTTCTTGATTTTAGTAAAGATCTGGACAGTCATTCTGACATTTAAGAGCAGATTTATTTCTCGTCAGTCTTTAATTTTTTTGGTACTCAGGAATTTGTTCCATTTTGATGCACCAGGTTATATAAAATTACATTTCATTTATTCAGGCAATTTCTGAGGAGAATAAGTTAAACTATCATCACAGGCTAGATACTGAAGTAACATTTTGCTTTGATTATTTTAACAAAAATCTTTAAAGATTTTCATTCTCATTTGCCTATTTTGATAATATGCAAAGAAAATCCTTAATAGATTACGATTTTAACTAGCCTCTTCCATAAAATATAACTACAAATTGTTTCCAAATGAGGATCTGTAATGGGGGAAATGAAAAAAACAATGAGGAACTAAGTTAAAATCAGACATGATTTAATACTGTCATTTATCATTAATTGTTCTGGGATAATTTAAATTCCACTAGCTTATTTTTTATAGTTTAAGTTTTTTACAGTTGGTTATAACCGGGAAGCAGTATACATAAACACATCCCTGACTTACAATGTTCTAAGAATGGCAGCTGAATACACTGCAATGTAAGATTGTTGATTTTAAAAAAATTCTTTGAATACCAGATGAATGGGATCTCATATAGCATTTTAGGGCTTAGCAAAGTTGCAAGCCGTTAAGACTATGAATTGTTAGTGATTCCACTGTATTTGCTAGTTAAGTGTCGCAGAGCCAAAAAAAAAAAAAAGCCCTTTTAAATAAAACGATGACCTTGATAGTAAATATGAAGACGCACGGGTTTAAATGGGTTGTCATAGGGATCAAAATTAGCATCCATCTAGCTGATGTTAACCAAGAGGCCACAATCTCTTTAACAACCTACCGAACGTCAAAACTGCGAGACGTGCTTTCATCTTCTAGTAAACTAATGACATCGTGTTGGAGAGGCCTAAGCAAATGACCTTGGTCCCCTGAAAGATGGCTCATACTCTCGGGGTACCTCTGCAGTATTTACAAAGGCAGCTCTGGACGGAAAGAGGTTGGGGTCGGAGGGCCTGGCATCCGGAGGCTGCAGCCTCACCGCGCGGCTGGGAGCTATCAAAACCACCCCCCGTCCCTCGGCGGATTTTCAGAGCCGATTCGTCCCCCTAAAATCGGGAGCGTTTAAGTCTTAGCACGTTCCTCGATTTGGGTATACCAGGGGCCTCTCCAACACTCCTGGTGGCTCCAGGGGGTTTCCGGCGTGTACGCCCTTCTTTCGGCGGGCCCATAGACAGCGGTGGCTCGATAGAAACACTGACCCTCTGCCCGATCCCAAGATGGCCACCAACCCTGGCAGAACTCCAAGGAGCCGCGAGCAACTTCCCCTTCCCAACAGCCCCCGCGGTGGCGACGACGGCAAGCAGGAAGGGGGAGGAGCCGGCATGAGAGGGCGGGGCATATCGCTGCGCCCTCCCGCGCGCACCCCGGCCCCGCCCCACGTCCCTGCGTCCCGGCCCGGAGCTCTGGCCCGACCGGGCGGCACGCGCTGCCTGCTGGGATACTCGGCCCGCCCAGCCAGTCCTCCCGGCTTGCGCTGCGGCCGCGAGATCCGCGTTTTTCCCAAGATGGTGGCGCTGGGTTCGGGGTGACTGCAGGAGACGACATAGCCTGAATCCCCTTCGCCAGAATCTCGACACACCGCCTTCCTCCCGCTCGTGCACCCCGCTGCCACTTAGCCGTCCGCTGGCCTGGGCGCTCGCCTTCCGCTGCCGCCTCCGACTTGAGCTTCATCTCTGCGGACCCAACGATTACGGCCGCGGGCAGCGGCGCCTCCCTCGGCTCCTCCTTGGGGTCGCGCTCGGAGCAGCTCCCAGCCTAGCTCCGGCTCGGCGGGCCCCGCAGTTCCCCAGTGGGGACAGGCAGCGGCGGCTGGCGACGAGCGCGGGGTTTTCTGCGGCCCCGGCGCCCCCTTTCCCGGCCTTAGTCTCCGGAGAAGGAAGCGCGGGTCCCGCATGAGCCCCGGCGGTGGAGGCAGCGACAGGGAACGAGGCGGTGGCGGGCGGAGGCGGCGAGCGAGGGCGACTGCGACCAGTGAGGCAGCCGCTGCTGCGAGGGCCACAGCCCAGGCGCGGGGGCGACAGCAGGTCAGTGTGGCCGAGGACCGGGCCTGGGCCGGGGAGGCTGGTCGGCATTTCTCTTCGTTCTCTCAAACCACCCTTCGGGGCTGGCTCTGGCGGAGGTAGGGACGCTCCCAGACAGCGCCACGGCGAGTGTTTGGGGGCGCGTGGTGTGGAGGGGTCAGTGCCAGAAGTAGGCCTTTGGTAGCAGCGGCTGCTGCTACCGTAACTGTCAGTCCTGGCTGAGGGCCGGAGGGAGGGTTTTGTCGCCTAAGGGGACGCGAGCGGGCCCGGGGCGGGGCGTGCAGGGCGTCGAGAGTTGGCCCTCCTTGGAGCGGAGCTCGCGGAGCAGGCCTGGGCCCCAGGCAGGGTAGGGCTGGCCTTTTCCTTCCAAGGGGAGCTCTTTTTTCGAGGTTTTGGCCCTGTTGGTGAAAAATGCTTAGACGTGTGCTTTGGTGGGTTGGGGTTTTGGGGGTGGACTGGTGGGGAGGGAGGGCGGATGAAGTGGGAAATCAAGCCCAAGGGTTGTGTTCACAGTTTATCGGGATTTTCAAATTAAACGTGAGCTACCGGGTTTGCCAGACAGAGATTCTGTTAAATGCAAACCTGCAAACAGTTGGCATTTTTTTATTTTCCCTTTTCAGTTGAGAAAATGAAAAGGACTCTTTTTTCGTCATGGCGTGGAGGTTTTGTTGGTAAAGTCAGAATTGAATGTGGCAAATGCTTTAGTCCATAAAATTGTTAGAAATAATTTTAACGTAGGCACTGTTTGAGCTTAGATTCCTTCAAAGATAATTTAGTCTCTGAATTTTAAAAACGTCCAATTGGCATACTAAAATAGAAACATTACTAAATCTGTCTGGGATTATATTTATTAAGTAGCTAGGGTACTTTTGAAAATGTAAACGAATAGCAGTATGGGATTTACAATCCAGAGTTACCCTCCATAAATCATGAGGGGATATAGCTATGACCCTTAATTTTGGAGAATTCCACTGCCTGCAATATTGAAAGAAGCAGGAAATTATTCCAGAATATTCTGGGGGGAGGGAAGGAGGCTTGAAATGGAAATGACCTAAAGTTTGGAAGAAAAACTGTTAAAAAGTTACCTGTCAGAGTCACAGTAGATAACCAATAAATCTTGAGTGAATTAGACAAGAGGGATGAGAAGTGTTTGCTTCATAACCTCTGATTAATGAGTACTCTTACTGTTTAAACCAGGTAAAAAAGTTTAGAATTTAGAAAGATAAAAATAAAATTTTTATCCTGGTGTGTATAGTGGAAGTAATTTTAGAATTAGATCTTGCTTATAAATCTGAGTTATTTATCACATTTGTAATAAAATGAATACAGTATTAATGATAGTGCTGATAAGCCCAAAGAATGACCCAGAAGCCCTTTAAAGAAACTAATAATCACAACAAAAGCAAGAAATAGATTCAAGAAATAATGACCCTGTCTTTACAAAATTAGAATTGGAAACTGAGAAAGTCTTGTTGTATCAATATTTATTAACTGGCATTAGTATGCTAAGAATTATGTGCACTATTGTCTGGACATTGCCTGGTTCCTGAGGAGTTTAACTTTACACAGAGATACAAATTACAGTGTTTTGATTTCTTTTCAGAGGTGTGGTAAGCTGTTTTTATTTCACCTCTCTTAAATCGTACATTTTTTTTTCTTGGCTTAAAAAAGTACCTTCTTAAGTATACTTACTAGAAGTGTGAGGAAGACACATTCTCATCCCACTTGTTCAGTTCATTTAATAAGATTTATTGGGTACTTACAGTGTCTTGGGTATTTAACCTTTAATCAGTTGTATTTCTTAAACTTTAGGTCATTTTTAAAATGATCCTTCTGCTCTCCCCTTCAAGCCCCCCCCCCCAAATCTGAAATAATTTGCTGTTTCAAATAAGCAGTCAGTGGGATAATCCAAAACTATGGATCATATCTAAATTTTTCAACCCAAGCACTTGAAAAATTTACAAATGTTTATTTTCTTAAATGATTACTGGTTATCTTCTTGTCATGTTGCACATTTTTGTTTAGACCCAAACTTGTGTTGGTCAAAACATAGAGACATTACATTAAAGGTACATGGAGCTGTTAAAAAGTTAGTTTTTTGATTTTTTTTAAAGTAAAATTTTATTTATTTATTTAAGAGACAGAGAATGAGAGACCGAGAGTATGGGAGGGAAGAGGGTCAGAGGGAGAAGCAGACTCCCTGCTGAGGAGGGAGCCTGATTAGCCGGGACTCTATCCCAGGATTCCAGGATCATGACCTGAGCTTAACCAACTGAACCACCCAGGCACCCCTAGTTTTTTTACTTTTATGAGTGAAGACAAATTTTCTCTTTTCAGGATAATTCAGGATAACAGAGTTTTGGCTGATTTTGACTCTTCCCCCCACTGCAAATGTAAAGATAAATTCAAAAACATTACAGCATGTGCAGTGAAAATAGCTTTGGAATTAGATCCCATTTTTAATTCTGGGCTCACCTTAGTTGTCTGATCTTGGCAAGTTAGTCTTAGTAAGCTGCAGTTTTGTCATCTATAAAATGGGATGGCGAAACTAACTCGGAGTTGTTTTGAGGATTAGAGCTTGTAAAATGTCCAACACATAGAGTATTATCATTTGAAGTCTTCCTACCTTGTTATGTTTTTTGTGTGTGGACTCTAGCATGTTATCTTTTACATTGTTTTCATTCTCGCTAGCTATGAACTCACTCTTTAAGGGGAGGGGCTCCTAGTGTTTACCAGAAAGTGTGTTGCCAGCATATGGATGAATTATCAGTGAATAGTCAACTGACATTCATTGGGTACCTACTGCGTCTCCTGTGAGCTGGGTTAGATGTAGGAGCTACAAAGACAATCGTGTCTGTCTTTTGGAAGCTTATAGTCTAGTGACTTTCTCCACATAACACCATTTTTTGTGAAATCCTTTCACATAATGGAGCCTCATTCTTCTGTGCTCTTCCAGTCTTAGGGCGGTTCTGTGGACTCAACACTTCCACCTGCAGCTGCTATTCTAAAGAATATTGTTTTTGCCCCTTTATACAACTATTTGGCATATGTGAGATACTTTATATCTTTACCTTGGTCCTGCTCCATAATCCAAAATCTGGCACATAGTGTGTGTGTGAATGGGTATGTATATGAAAAAAATAAATTTACTTTGGCAGTTGCCTGTAAATACTTTGATATTTTTCTGGGGTAATTATCATTCTGTCTTCTGGTTCTAGCTTTATATTTCAAACCTCTCAGTAGGACTATTCTTGAGGCCAGTCACTCCATTCATTTTATACATGAAGAAATTGAAGTGCAAAGCTTTAAAATGATTTTCTTAAAGTCACCCAGGTGGGCAGAGCTAGAAGCACAGTCTGAGTCTCTGGACTAGAGTTCAGGACTCTGTACAGTGGCGTATGTTCTGTCTTACCTGTTGAGAGGAGTAGTTTGCTTCTATTTGAATGTTTTCTACACTATTATTAGAAGGCAGACTTTACAAGATGCCATCATTGGGCCTTTTCTGAGCATAAGAGTTAGTGCAGGAAATGGGGCTTTTTCTTCTAATAAAGGAAGTCAAGTAAAACTACAGTAACTAGAAATGGCGTTAAATGTTTGTAAAATCTACAAACATATCCTATGTCCAGAACAGATGTTTAAAATACTTAAAGATGCTATATAATTTCTTAAATGAAATAACTTATTAATAAATAGATAATAAATTTCTTTGCCAACTTTGCTTTGATCTAAGTTATCATAAAGTAAACACCATGATGGATAATAAGTCAAAATGAAGTTTTTAAGTTTAAGGCCAATCTGAGAATGAAATAAAGCTAATACCTTTTTTGGAATATTGCTGTTTGCAAATGAGATTTAACTGACAGTTGTTTCTGTTTGATTCTAAGCTTCGTGACTGTGAACTCCCTAAAATTATATATAAATTTTAAGTTTCAGAGTCTCAACAGGTTCAGTGAACAAAAGCGACCAAGAACCACTGATGTGGAGAAAGAAGCACTAACTTTGGTGTCAGAAGATCATGGGTTCATCCTTCCAATCTAGCTTCCTAGCTGGTCATGAGCAGGTCATTTATCTTTCAAAGCCTTTGTTCTGTTAACTTCTGTTAAGTGAAGGTGATACTTGCTTTGTCTGTTTCAAAGGATTGTTTTTCAGATGTGATCATTCTCAAAAAAATTAGAATAATACTGTATAAAGTGACCTTATATGTGACTTAGTGACTTTCCCAAGAAAACAGGTTGTTTAGTGGTAAACAAGTGATTGGAATATTTTCGTGCTTTTCTCTATAAACATTTTTAACCTTTTCATACTTTCAGAAGTATTGTTTTGGGAAATATTTA